GGTAAGTAAGTCTGGGATGGAGTACAGTGTCCCTAGCGTCCTTCTGGGCTTTAAGTACCAGATACAATCATAGAGCTGGCTTTAGATGGAGGTTTCGGAGCTACCAGGAGAGGTAACCGTAAGACCACCAGAAGGCTGGAAGAGGGAAAAAATACACAAAAATGTAGTCCCAGCCAGGTGCGGTGGCTCACGCCTCCCAGCACTTTGGGAGGCTGAGGCGGGCTGATCACTTGAGGTCAGGAGTTTGAGACCAGTCTGACCAACATGATGAAACCTCATCTCTGCTAAAAATACAAAAATCAGCCAGGCATTGTGGTGAGTGCCTATAATCCTGGCTACTCGGGAGGCTGAGTCAGGAGAATTGCTTGAACTTGGAAGGCAGGTGGAGGTTGCAGTGAGCCAAGATCACGCCACTGCCCTCCAGCTTGGGCAACAGAACAAGGTTCTATCCCCCCACAAAAAAAAAAAAAAAAAAAAAAAAAAAAAAAAAAAAAACACCACTGTAGTACTGGCACAAGGATAGGCATATACATCAATGAAATAAGATAATCCAGAACAATATCCTCACATATATGATTAAATGATTTTCAGCAAGGTATCAGGATCATGCAGTGGGAAAAGGAAGTTATTGCAAAAAATGGTGCTGGGAAAACAATCCTGACATGTAGAAGTGTGAAGCTGGACCCTTGCCTTACACCATATACAAAAATGAAAACAAAATGAGTCAAGGACTTAAACTACTCTTAGAAGAATACATGGAGGGGGGAATTTCATGAAATTGAATTTGGCAATGATTTCTTAGATATGACACGAGCTCAGTCAACAAAAGAAAAAATGGACAAATTCAACTTCATCAAAGTTAAAAACTTCTGTCCCTCACGATATTATGAAGAGTGAAAAGGCAACCCATGGAATTGCAGAAAATGTTTGCAAATCATGTAATTGCCAGGGTATTAATATCCAGAATGTACAAAGGAAAAGCACTTGACAAAGTTCAACATCTCCACAATGAAAACACTCAATAAACTAGGAATAGAAAGGAACTTCCTGAACCTGTTATAAGGCATCTATTAAAAACCCACAGCTAACATCATGGACCTAAGAACACCCTCATTTTCAGCACTGGTTAATCTCTAGGATCAGTTAGGTAGAAAGTGAAGGTGGAACCAAAGTTTTAAGCAGCCTTGCTAAGTGTTAAAGGAATGCTGCAGGATAGAACCATCCACAAAAACTGGAAGGTGTGAGGTTTTTCTTGTTTCTGCTTCTTTAGCTCCTGGCATGCAAGGAAATCACTGTCAAAACACAGGCTAAACACAAACTAAAGGACAGAAACTTCAAGGGCTATGCATAACAAGTAATACAATCTCTGCAAAAATACTTTGGAAAAGTCAACAAACAAAAATAGCAAACACTGAGGAGGGAGAAACTGATTTCTAGAGTTACCCCTTATGATATTCAAATGTCCATGTTTCAACAACAAAGTTTGAGGAATACAGAGAAACAAAAAGCTCATTAATGGAAACAAATCATTTGAGATAAACCATTTCTAAAACCCTAGACATTAGACTTACTAGACAAAGACTTTAAATCAACTGTCTTTTTTTTTTTTTTTTTTTNAAAAAAAAAAAAAAAAAAGAAAGAAAAAAAGAAAAACAAAGCTTCACAATCTGAAACATTTTGAGTGCTAACATGATGCTTAAAGGTGATATGCATTGGAACCTCTTGGATTTGAGATTTGGGATGCTCAACCAGTAAGCATATAATGCAAATATTCACAACTCCAGGAAAAAAAAAATCTGAAATCCGGACATTTCTTGCCCCAAGTATTTCAGATAAGGGAGGCTCAATCTGTATTTAAAATGTAGTAAACAGAGGTGGGAGGATCCTTTGAGCCCAGGAAGTGAAGGCTGCTATTAGCTGTGTTCATGCCACCGCACCATTCCGGTGTGCATGGCAGAAATAAAAAAATAAGAACAGGTAAAAGCAAAGCCATTCTGGTTGAAGTGGAGGTGGTGGGACTGATCCGTTATTAAAGGAGTGTGGTTTGGTGACTTTCCTTCTACTGCTCTTTTGGACAACTACTACAATCTTGTATTTTTTAAAAACATACTGCTTCAAGCAAATAAGAAGCACCTTAAAGACAGAAACTGCTTTGTTTTCCTATGGATTACCCACACTATCAATAAATATTTTAGTTATGCTATAAGGAGTTACAATAAGAAAGCTCCATTCAATCAGTTTAGAAATTGAAAAATAAGGTGTATACTTTGTGCATAGTCCCATTATTATAGAAACACCAGCTCTAAGGAGTTTAGATTTTTTCTTTTTTTAGAGGCAAAGTCTCACTCTATGATCCAGGCTGGAGTGCAGTGGCACAATCTCAGCTCACTGCAGCCTCGACCTCCCGAGCTCCAACAATCTTCCTGCCTCAACCTCCCAATAGCTGGGACCACAGGCCCACAACAGCACACTGGCCTAATTTTCGTATTTTTTGTAGAGACAGGGTTTCACCATGTCACCCAGGCTGCTCTCAATCTCCGGGTCTCAAGTGATCCACCTACCTCGGCCTCCCAAAATGCTGGGACTGCAGGTATGAACCAGTGTCCAGCCTTTTTTTTTTGTAAAAGTTATCTCACTTCCATTCAAATATTTCTCCATGATCAAGGTGAAAGTCTAATATTTCATTGTTATAGAACCAGGATTATTTTAATACTGTGGTGGAGTCAACTCAAGATGCAAGAAAAAGTATAAAATGAGTCCAAATTAAGTGGAATTTTAAAAACCAAAGGATAACAATGAGATTGTAAAAACATTGTTCAATAATACTTTTAGTATTAGTTTAGAAAAAAAATGTAGAGATCTTTGACACTCTAATCAAGGTTAATGCAGAATAAAAAGTGGTCCCTACCTAGGGGAATACATATATAATTAAATACAATGTAGAGCTTTATATACATTTTTTTGAGATGGAGTCTTGCTCTGTTGCCCAGGCTGGACTGCAGTGGCACGATCTTGGCTCACTGCACTCTCCGCCTCCTAGGTTCAAGTGATTCTCCTGCCTCAGCCCCCCAAGTAACTGGGATTATAGGTGCCCGCCACCATGCCCAGCTAATTTTGAATTTTTAGTAGGGATGGAGTTTCACGATGTTGGCTGGGCTAGCCTTGAACTCCTGACCTCAGGTGATACACCAGCTCAGCCTCCCAAAGTCCTGGGATTATAGGCATGAGCCACTGCGCCCAGCCCCTGCTATATTCTTAGTATAACAAATTAGTCCAAGACTGATCAGACTCTCAAGCATACTCTTCCGGCATTTGTAAAGTATCAAGTTATTTAAAAATATTTGGAAAAATTTTTAAAAATTGAAGAAAACAAACAACTACCTTATCACACATAACATTAAGTTATACTAATCGCATGGATGACTCCCAGGCATCACACACTAAGACAGAACTTGGGAGGAGGTGGAATGGGAGCAGGTTTGGTAGCAGGAGGAAGGAAGAGCTCTGCTAAGGTATTTTAAGTGTGAGATGCTCATTAGACCTTAAAGTGGAGATGAGGACACAGCTGGATTTATGAATCTAGAACTTGCGGGAGAGGTCTGGTCAGCAGAGAGATACATTTAAAGCTGTGGATGCCACCCAACTTTTGCTGAGCTTTTGTTGCTTTCTTCCTGTTAAATTAAGTAGTTTGGCTTTGCAAATTTAAGCTTCAGAAGTTCACCCATCCTATCCACATTTCTTTTTTCATGTTTAGGTAAATTTAGTAGAGGGCTAGATAGATGGATTCTCCTGCCTCAGCCTCCTGAGTAGCTGGGATTACAGGCACCCACCACCATGCCTAGCTAATTTTTTATATTTTTTAGTAGAGATGGGGTTTCACTATGTTGGCCAGGCTGGTGTCAAACTCATGACCTCATGATCCACCCGCCTCGGCCTCCCAAAGTGCTGGGATTACAGCCGTGAGTCACCGCGCCTGAACATTTCCTCATTATTTTTAAACACTTGCCTGTCATGTCATTTCCTTTATTAAAAATTATTAACTTTTATCTCTTATCTGATGCTAAGCTTCTCTCTCGCATTCATAATATATTCTTCATTGTCAAGATGGCTCCTTCATTCCCCCCAAACACACCATGAATATGACCCTGGCCTCTGACTTTATGCAGACTGTGACCCAACTCCCTTGACCTATACCTCAATCTGTAAGAGCCTGAGGGCCCCATGATGTCGCCAACTGTTGCCGCCCATCACCCCCCTCACCTCCACACACATTTGCATGGTAGTCTTCATCACCTGCTCTCTTGCATCTTAATCTCAAACCCACGTCTTAAATTTTACAAGCCCACGAAGAAGTCATATTGGAATGATTTTCCAAACATCAATGCCAAAATCATGCAGTATTTCTAATACAAATACTTTACTTTCTACCCCCAAAATACATGATCCAAAACTAAAATGCAAAGGAATAAATCAATTGTATCCAAATCTAAATTAAGAGAACTCCATTATCAACTTAAGAATATCAAGCCAGTAATATTGTGAAAGACAGAATTTAGTCAGAGGCATAGAGCGAGCCTAGGCAGAAAGGGCGATGAGTGTCCACCAGGACTAATGAAACGACCTCTCTGCAGGCCACACAATCCCTATCCAAGGCACTTCTTCACTACCAGTGAAACTACCACCAACTGTGGGATTTAGGTATACTGTCCCAGGAGGAGGCAATGAGACCTGGGGAAAACTGTACCTTATCTTCCACTTAAATGGAATTAACTATCCCTGTATTTCTCCCCAGTCTGCATGGAGCAAAAACCCGGTTTTAGCGTAATCCATCAAATATGAGACTCCAAGCAACCAGGACAGAGTGAGAACTCCATGTGTAAACATGTAAACACATACACACATGCACATGTGAAAGCACACACACTCTAGACAATATGGCCGAGCATGCCATACAAGACTATATGTTTATTGTGAAACAATCTGAGTTAGGAAAACTAGGATTGTTGCCACCACCATTTATTTATCTAGTTCATAGCTAAGGACAGAACACTATAGCAGTGCTGGAGATGCAAAGAAGTCCCTGCCCTTAAGGGGCTTACAATCTTACTGGCGAATGTAACAGGCACATAAGAAGCTGGACTACAAGAAAGCATGAGCTAACAAATGCCAGACTTCGGAAGGCAGCGTAGTTTGAGAACATGGGATTAAGAGTCACAAAACCCACATCCTAGTCCCAACCCAGGACGTCAGTTAAACTCTCTGGGTTTTTGTTTTTTTACCCCAGCTACAACATTAAATAGTAAGACCGAGAGGCTGTCTGTGTGTTTCCATCATGATTCAGATCAAAAGCTGGAGGTGGCGGCACCTGAGTGGGACACTGAAGGAAGGCCAAGGAGGTGTTTCAGACAGGGAAAGCGGTACTGAGGTAGCGGTAAGCTTGGAGTTTGGCAGGGAGAAGACAGACAAACGTCACAAGGAGCAACGGCAGAGAGGTGGGTGGGTGGCAGGAGTAACCACCACACTTCCCACGCAGCGGTGAGCAGTGTGCCTCACATTTACATCCAATCGTTTACAGTACATAATTCCAGAGAGCAGAAAATACCAGAGGACGATGGCGGCATTTTGTCAAACATTTCACTTGATTTCCATAAAGTATAAAATAATTTAACATTATACCTCTACATTTCAAAATTCACATCGATAAACCATCCTAACAATTATCAAAATGTAAACCAATTCAAAGTTTACATTCTTAGTAAACATAACTAAATCTCTTAATTCAAAAGGACATTTGATACAAATCATATTACTCCAATGATTCCAACATTCATTTTCCACCATTTTCCATGCACTGTGAAAATATGACTATGACAAGGTCCCTGCCCTTGAAGAGCCCGCAGCCTGGCAGACGAGACAAACATCAACTGCCTACTTAGAATTACTGTGATGCACAGCCTGAGAAGCTGTGAGCATACTGCCATGGAGCACAAAGATGGATTCATCCTTTCTGGAGTTTCCGCAAGGGCTCAGGAGAGAGGTCTTGGGCTCAAGAAGAAATGAGTTTGGAAGAGAGCAGGTGGCTACGGGAGGAGAGGGCTCCCAGGCAGAGAACACATGGGCACAGAGAAGAGGTCCAGGGCCAATGAAGGGACAGTGTGGCTGAAGCAGGGTGTAAAAGGCAACAGCTAGTGATATGAAGGCCCAGACTTAGTCCTGTGAAGTAAGGAGCCATTGCTTGTCATGCTTTAATCATCTACTAACGCTGGTTCATGAGGTCAGGAAGAGATAGGACAGAAAGTGAGCAGGAAGGTTCTGTCTGTATTGTAGGCAGTGACTGTATGGTCTCCCCAGCAAACTAAACTCTTTAGAAGCCCACACCCACCGTGACCTCCTTTCTTCATCCTTTCTTCTGTCTCTTTTTTCCCTTTATGATCTGCTTCCCCTCTGTCCTTGAGTCCTCAAAATGGAGCCTGCATTGGAAAGGCATAGGCGAGGAGCAAAGGAGCAGGACTAGAAACAAATATGGCTAATTGAGTTACCATAAAGAAATGGTAACCGTATCGGACAAAGGTCTGCAGATGAAGGAAACAAATTCATTTTCAGGAGTTTTCCAAAAGTGCCCCCAATTCCACCAAAATGTTGGAAAATCTCATTCGATGTGGGAAAAATATACAGAACCCTTGCAGAAGACTCCATTTCCTAGACTATTTTCCATTAAATATCAATGTTACAAATGCAATACCATAGGATTTCAGAGCCTATCTTCACACAAACAAGATCTGACCAAAATTGCATTGCTTAGCTTAAAATATAATATACAATGTGTAATTTCAAGTCTTAGGTTCTCAGCTACTACCAAAATATGTCAATATATGAATAAATTGCCTCATGAAAAACATGCAGTAAAAGGTAGATGCAAATAAGCCATCCCTTTAGGGTAGACACTATATTTCAATTTCTTGTCATATTATAAAACCATTCTACAAAAGTAACACCTTCTTGAAATTTCATTTTGTAATGAAGAAAATAAATGTTTCATTTTATTTAACATTCATTCTTAAGTTACAGTTAACACAATCTGCTTCTAATCCAGTAAATCCTAGTATAATCTGAAACACATGCATATACATTTAGTAAGACCTACATTTCTAAATAAATTACATGCATGATGTACAATAAAGAATACCAATATGAGAATTCAGGACATTTATTTTTCTGCATGGAAATTTAACTACTGTACAACACACACATATACAAAACAAACCCACAAAGCAACAGTGTGTAATAGTAGTGAGAGACACACAAAATAAGCATATTTAAAATGCCTACCAACAGGCTTTTTTTTAGGCAACAAAATTATGTCCAGTCCTTGACATCTTCTCATACTCACCTAGCACCACAGATGCAAGGACCTAACAGTAAACATGTACAATCCCATGCTTAAAACCTAAAGCATGCACTGAATTGAATTTATATGTTGTGAGCTATTGTACTAAGTACGCAATACATACTTTTTCTTACTAATATTTTATACATTAAATTACCCTGCAGCATTTTGAAATTTTAACATTGATGTAAAACAACTTTTGAAAGATTTATGAAACAAGTTTCAAGGTTCACCTTCAGGCTGGTTTGGTTAAGTGGAAAAATGGCAGCAGCCTCAAGGTCCATACTGAATGAAAACGGTGTTATGTGCATGTCAACCCATGTAAAAAATACCTATATACAAGATGGCACAAGATTTGTGCAGTTGGAATCACCAGTGCAAATGCATGCATTTGAGGTACTTATTTTTCCATGGTCAGGTATAATAATGCATAGTCATTTTCCTCAAGTGCTAAAGATTTCAGACCTGATCAAATGAAAAGTTGTAAGTGTAAATATGAGCTACTTATATAGTTAATTTCAAAGTGCTACAAACATTCTTTTAACATTATAGATTTATATATTTAGTTTAAAATATTTATATTTACCAACCAATAAATTTTCTCACTATAAAGAGACTGACTGGCAATTATACCTGGCCAAGTGATTTAAATAGCATACTTGAAATTCTTGCAAGAACTGTAGTGAAAGAGTTAAATACTTCATTATTGCTTCATTGAACTGAGAAGCCCAAAAGGCATAAACAATGCTCAATGATGAAAAATGAATACCCCGAACAGCGGTGCATGCCCCCAAAATGGCCTCTATGCAACAAAAACTAAGCATTCTCCACGTTATCAATGCCGTTGGCATCCACGTGGATATCAGAATCCCCACACAAAGAAGAGGGAACAAAGCGGCTAACAGTGGGACACAAACAGCTCTTAAGCTCTGGCAATTCTTGCTTCAGGCGTTCCAATTGCTCCACTTGGAATATATTTGGCTGTTCAGGCATCCAATCATATATCCTATGATGAAACAAACACAAAATACATAAAATACTGTGATTTTATGGCTTATCCAAGACCTGCCCGACTCGACTTTTTCATAAGAATTCATTTACAGAATGCCTGGACATCCATATCAGAGGTTTTGTTTTGTTTTAAAGGTGAAAGTGCCCATTCTATTTTTAAAAATTTCCATTCTCCCCAATCTTTCCAATAATCCAGAAGAGCAGCATTGCCCTTTTGTAACCCTGATGCAGTGGAGCTCGATATAAAGCAACTGAATCAGAAAATGAAATGTCTAGTTTACTTGTGATCTAGCTTAAAGTATCTACTCTCCAACTCGCTTTTTTAAACACATGGAAATCTATAAAGAACTGACAGTTCTGACTTCAAAGTCACCAAAGACGAAGATAAAGAAGACTGCTCACCAGTGTGGAACTACTATAAAGCTGCTCAATAACGTCAGATGCATCCACAGTGGAGAACTCTGAAAGAGCCTCCGATGACTGACACTGGCACTGCCCATCAGCAGAGAAAGGATGGTCTCCTGTACCTGAATGTGACAGCCAGGCAACTATGTAAAGCAGTCACAGAGAATCTTTATGACATCACAGTAGGAAAGAATTTTTTAAACAAGATAAAAAAAAATATGGTGACTTGGCTGGGTGCGGTGGCTCATACCGGTAATCCCAGGACTCTGGGAGGCTGAGGTGGGCAGATCATGAGGTCAAGAGTTTGAGACTAGCCTGGCCAACATGGTGAAACACTGTCTCTACTAAAAATGTAAAATTAGCTGGATGTGGTGGTGCGTACCTGTAATCCCAGCTACTGAGGAGGCTGAGGCAGGAGAGTGGCTTGCACTCTAGCCTGAGTGAGAAAGTAAGGCTCCACCTCAAATATGTGTGTGTGTGTGTGTGTGTGTGTGTGTGTGTGTGTGTGTGTGTCTGACTATATTAAAGAGTTTCTACTAATTAAAGACATATCTAAGAGAATGAAAAATGACCTCTGTGTTAAGGTATCAAGACAGAACAAACATCTAACTTCATTCTCTCCCTATGTCCCATTAAAAATAAAACAAAGGGATTCTTTAAAAAAAAAAACAAAACAACCCGTAAGTATAAGAAAAGCCCAAGAGACAAAGCTGTAACATTTTGGAAACTGGAAAACAGATGGATAAATAAGAACTAAAAGGTTTTCAGTAAGAGAACTGAAAAGGCTGGCTCACAGGCCAGAGGTAGGAAACCACCCCTACTCCTAATCTCCCAGCTACAGGAGAAAACAATCGAATCAGGAGGTTGCTAACACGGAACACTATTTCTAAGTTTGATCCTGTTGAAGACTTTGGGCTCTGTACAACCATATCCAGGTGTGTAGTAATTTAGTGCCTGGCTGGGACTATTCACATTTTAAGGATGGTATTGAGCCTATGGAAAGATGAAAAAAACAAACGGGCAAACGGGGAGGACAATGGCTAATTACATTAAACAGACAGCAGAGACTAAGTGACTTCGACCGCTTTTGGCTAGAGACTCTAATGTGCCTTATTGAAGAATCTTTTGATGGCTGCAGTGATGATGTATGCGGAGCTGCGGTAAATGTTAGAGCTAAAGGTGATAAAATAGCAGTATGGACTACTGAATGTGAAAACAGAAAAGCTGTTACACATACAGGGAGGGTATACAAGGAAAGGTCAGGACTAACTCCGAAGATAGTGATTAGTTATCAGTCTCACATAGATACAGCTACTAAAAACGGCTCTACCACTAAAAATAGGTTTGTTATTTAAGAAGATAACCTTCTGAGTACTCTCATAAGAGACCACGTCAAGCAATTGAGATTTGGGAGCTGAATCAAAGCCTCTTCAAAAACCAGAGTAGACTGCATTTAAATTCGATTTCCCTCCAAATGTTGCTAAGACATAAAAAGTCTCATTTTCTCATCTGCTTTTGTCTTGTACTTCTGTGTTCATTTTTTGGGGGTGGAGGGTGTTAAGAGTGTCCACTATACCAATCAAAGAATTATAGTATACATCATCCTAAAATCCACAAATGTGTTCCTGGCCCATTCTGTAACAGTTCAGTAGAATTACCATTAATTACACATACATTTTACCTATCCACAATATTCAAAAAACAATTTTGTATCTGTATACTTTACAGGAAAAAAAATTCTGTTGATGTTCTATTGTGTGCAGGAGCATATTTTGCTTGTTAGAAAGACTATGGTGCATACAGTTTTCTAGAATTTTGTTTCTTTTTACAGCATTGTCTTTGTTGTACTCTTGCTGATGGCTTTTAGATTTTAACCTAATTGTTTCCCTACTTGATAAAATTAGTGATTCTGATTTCAGTTTTTAATTTCTTTAGCTTTTGCTTTTTTCCTCATGTGACCACTAGTGAAGGATCCAGGAATATGACACAAAAGTGAAATAAATATTAATTTTGTGCATTCTTTGATAATTTTTTGTAACTACAAAGCTTTGCTACAAATTTATGCATTTCATTCAAATCAGTGATCTATGTGTGTGTGATTTCCTAAACATAGTTGTGAATTATAAAAAATGTGACATTGTAATTACATTTCTAACTAGAATTAGTATGTCTTTATGTATCTTTATGCTGTATTTTATCACTTTGTATTACTTAGGTTATTTTGCTTTGGTTAAAAATGGCTCAAGTAGAAAAAGCAGTCCCATTCATTTTAAGACAGTATACAAAACTGTAAATAAAATGTGTACAGTGAATTGTCTTTTAGACAACTAGAAAAAAAAAATAATTAAATAAATAAAAGCAGTAGTACATTCCTCTTCAACTGGGAGTGAAAGGTAGAGAAACTAAGGGAGGAGGGGAAAACTCTGATCCAAATGAAATATTTCCTTTCCTCTACTCCCTCCTGTTGTGGCTGCCCCCATCCCCTAACCAACAGAGTTTCATTTTGAGAAGTAAACAGCATGTCTTTTGAAATGGAAGATAATTTGGGCATTTTACAAAGCCATCAGCATTGAAGCAATTCAGAGACAGTGTGTATGTGTCACATGATACTACAGCAACACTCCTTCTTCCTGCAGTTCCCTTCCCTCACTTAACTCTGAGAACCCTGGCAGCCAGACCTGGAACCCCCAGGTAGAATACACAGATTCTTCTATTAGGAATCTGATCAGCCAAAAGGTAAAGTTCTAAACCTACTGACATCAGAAGTATGAACCAACTGGCCACCCAGATCATCTCTGTTGCCCAGGCTGGAGTGCAGTGGTGTGATTTCGGCTCACTGCAGCCTCTACCTCCAGGGTTCCAGCAATTCTCCTGCCTCAGCCTCCTGGGTAGCTGGGATTATAGGCACACACCACTACGCCCAGCTAATTTTTGTATTTTTAGTAGAGACAGGGTTTCATCATGTTGGCCAGGCTGGTCTTGAACTCCTGACCTCAGGTGATCCACCCGCCTCAGCCTCCCAATGCGAGGATTACAAGCGTAAGCCACTGCACCTGGTCAAGAAAGCTTCTAATATGGAAGATTCCAAAGAAAACAGATGAATATCCCCAAATGACAAAAACAAAAGACCCATAATGGGCCGGGCATGGAGGCACACGCCTGTACTCCCAGCACTTTGGGAGGCTGACGTGGAAGGATTTCTGGAGCTCAGGAGTTTGAGGGCAGCCTGGGCAACATGGGAAAATCTCATCTCTACAAAAAAAAAAAATACCAAAATTAGCTAGACGTAGCAGTGTGTACCTGTAGTTCAAGCTACCCAGGGGATGGAGGTGGGAGGATCTTGAGCCCAGGAGGTCAAGGCGGCAGTGAGGTGAGACTGCGCCACTGCACTCCATCCTGGGCAGCAGAGTGAGAGAGACCCAGTCTCAAAAACAAAAACAAAAATAAAAAAAGAGATCCTTAATGACTGGAAAAAGAGTATGTTCACGGCCGGGCGCGGTGGCTCAAGCCTGTAATCCCAGCACTTTGGGAGGCCGAGGCGGGTGGATCACAAGGTCAAGAGATCGAGACCATCCTGGTCAACATGGTGAAACCCCGTCTCTACTAAAAATACAAAAAATCAGCGGGGCATGGTGGCGCATGCCTGTAGTCCCAGCTACTCAGGAGGCTGAGGCAGGAGAATTGCCTGAACCCAGGAGGCGGAGGTTGCAGTGAGCCGAGATCGCGCCATTGCACTCCAGCCTGGGTAACATGAGTGAAACTCCGTCTCAAAAAAAAAAAAAAAAAAGAGTATGTTCATTAAATGGGAATAGGATGTTAAATATATAGAAAAGGGTATATTAAGAGAAAAAAAGATAGTTCTTGAAAACTGAAGACACAATAGCAGACAAGAAAATTCAACAGAGGCCAGGCAGGGTGACTCATACCAGTAATCCCAGCACTTTGGGAGGACAAGGCAGACAGATTGCCTGAGCTCAGGAATTCATGGCCAGCTTGGGCAACATGGCAAAAACCTGTCTCTACTAAAATGCAAAAAATTAGCCAGGTGGGTGCCTGTAGTCCAACCTACTTGGGAGGTTGAGGCATGAGAACTATCTGAACCCAGGAGGCAAAGGCTGCAGTGAGCCCGGATCGCGCCCCTGCACCCCAGCCTGGGCAATAGAGACTCTGTCTCTAAACAACAACAACAACAGAAAAACTCAATAGAATAAGTAGAAAGACAGAAAATTTTTCAAATGAAGAATTTTGCTTTGGTTAAAAATGGCGCGTGCGTGCACACACACACACACACACACACACGACCAAACAGGAGAAAAAAATGAGAAATCTGGTTCAAGAGCTATTTGGTTCAAACAAAGACTTCTATAGGGAAAAAAAAATCCAGAAAACTGAAAGGGACAAGAATCAAAAGAAATATTTTTGAAAAAATTTTCCCATGTTTAAGAACCTATGTTGATAGACTAAAAGGGTTACCAAGTGTCCAGTAAAGTGGGCAAAACCAGACCTGCAAGAAAACATATCTCTATAGAATTTCAGAACATTGGTAACATAAGGAAGACCCTCAAAGCTTCCAGAGAGGAAACACAGATT